TAAAATACAAAATAATTTCCCTTTTGTATTTTAAATGCTAAAAGCAAAATACGTTATTTTCAAAATACTTTTTTCAAATAAATACTTTTTTGTAGTAGGTACAGGTACCTATTTAATTTTCCACATTTACCTAAATATAAAATATTTCTTAAGAAAACCTTGCAGGCATTTGCTAATTTTTTAAATATTGGAGTTTTTCTAGACAAATACTGATGTTTGCACTATATCATTAGCTGGGAAGATTGAGTATGATTCGTGTTTTTTAGTTTTAAGTGATTGAGATATAGTTTTTCTATATTTATGTTATAGTTTCTTATTTGCCTTTGTCACCCGTTTTAATTGGAAAAAAGACACTGATGCCCAAATAGTTTGTTTAGCGTGAAAGATCAGAGCCAAAATAGGGTTGCAAATAATTTTATTGATGCAAAATCAACATCAATCATTTTATAGCAAACTATTTACAACCCTATTTTGTTTCTGATCTTTTACACATTGTAATAAGAGAAAGAAATGGAAATCATACTTTCTTTAGGTTTGGGTTCATCTAATAAGTGAAGTTTTCCGAATCGTTTTCTAAGAATTTTGGATTATAGGCATTTATTAGCACACCACAATATCTTGTAGTTTTCAGTTTTACACAGCTGGCGTATATCAATTCGATATTATTTTGCGGGCTGTTTTGTCGTAATTCATATAATGTCGTAGTACCTTGCTAAAGGTACGATAACTGGTGATTTGGCAGGTGCTGACATCAATTTGGAACTTCAAAATTCCATGGACATTGAACGCGGAAAACAATATCGATCCAATATATTAGATTATCCATTTAAATAAATCACATCTCTGACTATGACATTGAGGTGTACTACACGTTTGCAGAGTGCATTACCATCCCTGAGTTTTTTTGAGAGTTTGAGACTTGATCTGTATGTCGAGAACTACCAGAATCCAAAGTTTCAGAGTTAGCCATTTTCCATAAGGATTTAATGGGATTTTTGAAAGGAATATTCACAGTCGCAAATTTGCTTTTTACAAAAATAAGTAATTTAAACAAACAAAAAAAATTGTCCTTGCAATTTCTCTATCTCGTTCTTCGTTTCGTAGAACTATCTAGTAGGTATCTCTTTGTAAATAAATCGAAAACCTTCGAACAAATCATTATTTGATTTGATTAGTCCAACAAGGCATTAATAGATGTTTAAACATATGAGTATATGTGACAGGTACGTATGGTTTGTATGTGTGTAATGTAGTTACATAAATGTACGAAAGTGTATGAAAACAAGGTAAACGATTTAGAATTATCTGAAGGTCGTTAGCCATATGGCGACAAAGATGGGATCAAAAAATAGAATTCTGTCATGATACTCGCAATCAAAGTTGGCTTACGAATAGAATAAAGTGTGCTCTAAGTCGAATTGAGTTTTAGATGGTTTTAAACACGTTAGGGGCAAACTTATTTAATATTATTTGGAAGAGACTTCAACGGTGCGTCAAGCGACAAACCTCTACGGATAAAAATCACACCTACACCTTTTTATTTATTTATTGACTAAATAAACGTTATAAAGGAGTAAATTTTACACCTGAAATTTTAGCGTTTGAAACATTTTTACAATTTATGTTGATGTCCCAAATACGTGTCAAAGATCATTCACGACCATATAAAACTAATTTTTTTTATCAGACGACCTTATGATGATGATGATGGTTTTACCTTAGCTTTGAAATATGTGTATCGTTCTTCATTTTAAGCAAATAGTACAGAGTAAGTAAGCTAACACATCTGGTTTTTCGTTTATCTTTAAGAAATCAAATTTGCTTAATTTGAAACACTTCAAAAACAATAACAAAACTGTAAGGTGCACACAATGATTTACTTGTAATAATAAAATTAACCATG